TTGTTACATTTGTGTTGTATTTGAGCTGATAAATAAATAAAGGGAGACTAGTATAGATCTGTATAGATCTATTTCAAGCTATTTAGCTCTCATCAGCTAGCCAACAAAGGCAACAGTAAAAATATTGGCTTTCTATCTGGATGGTCTCTTGTGATGAGCCAATAGACAGAGAAAGGAAGCAGTATGCCTCCTCCCATATTTGGGCATACCAAGGGTTGTGACACTAAATACATACATATACACACACAGACAGACAGACACACACACACATATGAAATGTGTTACAAATAAATAATAAATGGGAGCACATGGTTTTCTTGGAGAAAATTCTAATTTAAATCTATCACCATCAGTTAACAGTAGGAAAATTTTCAACCCAAGATCATTATGGAGATCTAGCGACTTAGAAACTGCTCGAAAAATAGAATTAAAAACTTTAATTTGGGAGTCCATGTTATCAATTCTGTCTAACCTTTAAAAAAGAAAGAAAGAAAGAAAGAAAATCTAGGAAGCTGGCCGGAACAAGAAATAAATAAGGAGTGATCTTTCTAGCTAAGATAAACCTTTATTCATGAATAATAATTACTGTTAGACCCAGATATTTGGAATAAGGAGAATTATAAATAATTTCTTTATAGTTTCGGCTAGCATCTCACGGCCTGTTTGAAATATTGTGTAACACGTTCAAGGACCTTTCCAAATCCAATTAATATTCCACAGAACAAAAAAAATGAATCATCATACATACATTAAGACTTCAGATATTCATGAATCCTGAGATTACTCACCCTCTTGTTTCTTCGTCTTGTCCTTTCCCTCTCTGTATTTTAATCCACTGCTCCAACTGTAACATGGAATTAGTTCTTTGGATGACACGTTCGGATTCTATATGTGAATGCATGGCGTTGTGATGGATCCCATCGCTGGAATCTCCCAGGATGAGGTTTACCGCTTTCTCTGACCCATTTAAATGAACTGGCCTGTAATGGACTGATGAAAGTGCGCTGGCTGGCAAAGTTCCATACTCTGGCCCATAGGAATTCTGTTTTACACTGTTGATTTTTGTTAAGGGTCTATCGCGCCCGATTTTCTGAAATCCATACTTTTCTGCTTCTAAACATTTCTTCTCTTCCGTTTTGCAGACTTCTCGGTTCCGCTGATTGTTCTGAGTCTCTGGCTTAATTAGCTCTCGATGGTTGGGAATGTTATTGACTTCACGAGGTGCTGTGCTTTCAAAAGTAATCTTGTCTGCTCTAAAAAAGAAGAAGAAGAAGAAACATGCACTGGAGAACAACATCACTAGGAAACGGGTCACAATTCAACAGAGAACCATTTTTTCTTCTT